CAGTATCTTTGATCAGTTATGAGTGAAACCCTATCAAATGACTTTCTGGAATCTCAGGTTTTAATATTACTTCTAACACTCAGGTGGAACAGAAAAGGATGACACAGACCTTTCAAGAACAAAACTTACTGCTGGATGCAGCTCATGCCAGTATCACAAAAGAGCTGCAGAATCTTCAGACTGAGAAAACTCAACTCCAAACACATCTGTAAGTAAATTGTGCAACTTTTTATGCATCTTTGTTCTTGCATTTGTATTTTTTAATTATCTTTTTTTGGGGTTAATCCTCACCTGAGGATTTTTTTTCCATTGCTTTTTCAGTGGAAGGAGGAGGGAGGGGGAGAGAGAAACAGTGATGTGAGAGAGACACATCCACTGGTTGCCTCCTGCACTCGCCCCAACTGGGATGGGGAGCAAACCCACAACCCAGGTACTGCCTTTGACCAGGACCCTTCAGTGCGCAGGCCGATGCTCTAACCACTGAGCACCACTGGTACAGCTGTATTTCTTATCTTTGATGAAAACACTTAATTCTGCATTTGCTGGGCTGCCACAAAAAGACTGCCCTTAAGGAACTAGTTTTGTTACAACATTGTGATAACTGCTCTCGGGCAAGAGATATGTTCAATAAGAACATTTAGCCTTTCTGTTAAAGAACTCTCATTTAGCTTTCACATCTCCTTGGTCATTTCCTATAGGGACCATCTAATCCTTGAGCATAATCAGTGTATCCAGAAGGCACAGGATGCCGAGAAGAGGACAGCGGTGCAAAAAGAGTTGCTAGAATCAACTATTGCAAGATTGCGAGGTGAACTTGAAGCATTGCTGCTAGAGAAGACATCTCTGTTAGAGGAGAAAGACAGACTTCAGAGAAAGGTAGGTAGAGGGAGATTTGTGTTAGCTCCTGGTTGTGGTGGTCATCTTGATTTAAAATTGTATTTTAAGTGCAAAAGATAAGAAATACAACCCAGATGCAGTTTGTCAGAGTTGCCCATTAAAGAAACATTTAGGTGGCTAATCTATGTCTTTTAGCATATGAAGTAGTCTGTGCCAAATAGTATACCCTTATACAGCATTAGTGAATGTTAACTAAGTTCACACACATCCTCATGTTAGTTTAGGGGTCAGATTTTAAAAACTGATTTCCCCTGAAGGAGTAAAATAATGTAGGGTAAGGGGGACTAGCCCTGTGTTCCTAGTTAGGAAGGAACTAGCAGAGTCTGACATGCAGACGTGTCTTTCTAATTTCAGGGCTATTTGTGAAGTCTGCTCTGCTTCAGAGACTCCCTGAGTGGCCCCTTTTCTGAGAGGATGTGCTATCTCTGCAGTGTAGGTATTAATTGACATGCAGGGTGTGTCTGCTATAGTAGAGCCTGTCAGCTGCTTTAACATTGACCCATTTCTTTTTTTCTCCCTTTGGGCAGGTTAATAAAACAGAGAAAGAAATAGCACAAGAAAAATGCAATTTGGAAAAGGAATTAACTAAAAACAAGGTATTCCACATTTTATTTCACTATATTTCATTTTCTTCCATATCACTGCCTTCTGTATCAGCTTATCTTAATGACAAGATTCCTAATTTTGTGGAATACCAAGGTGTGGGGGAATAGAGAAGCCAAGAAGCTAGATGCAACTCAGAGCTCTCCAGTCACTGAAGCATAAGTCTGCTTATGGGGAAGGTTCGCTTGTTGAGCATCTGGGTTTGCCAGTGAGTCATCACTGCCTCTGGCCCTTCTGTTCACTGAGTAGTTTAGCCAGGAAGTCCCCTGAGAGTGAGCTAATGGGCTTGTGGGAGGCAAAGGGATAATTGCTGACGATGCTGTTTTGTTGTTTTAAAAAAACTAACTTAGGCTTCCTAAGTACATATCAGCACCTCCTACTTTATCTGCAAGGTACCCTTTTCTGGCTTCTAAAAAGACAGAATGGCCAGAAAAACAAGTACAATTCTTATTAAAGTAAAGCAAAAAACAATCTTTAAAACATTGTAGCTTGCATTTCAAAATTTGAAGAGTTAAGATTATGCACCACTGTTATCTAGAGAATATATTTAGAGCATCAAGAATTAGCCTACCCCAGACAATAAGTCCACTTAGTCTAGCAACAGATGTCAATATAGACATCAAGCCCTGACTATTCCTTGGCTTCTGACTGAACTTAAATAGCATTTGTATTACCATATATATGTGAACTTTTAACTTAAGAATTGGGAACAGGAAAAAAGCTGAATTCTTAGACCAAGCTCAAATACCATTCACCAAGCTGGCACGTGTCCCTTGTTGTTTAATCACTCATATCGAGTAAATTGAAAATAGTTCACCATAAAAAATAATTGAATGAAAACTAACTTGCAGTAAGGACTTGATAAGTGTTAATTTGGCCTCAAATATGCTTTTTAAATTTTGGAAAACTGGTGGTTACTATTAAATTCATTAATGCTTTCTGCTTAAAAATGTTAGTGAATGTTACATGGCTAAGGCATATGCTGTATATGTGTGATTTAAAAACGGTATTATGCCCAGCTGGGCGTGGCTCAGCGGTTAAGCATTGACCTAGGATCCAGAGATCAAGGTTCGATTCCGGGTCAGGGCACATGCCCGGATTGCGGGCTCGATCCCCAATGACTCTCTCATCATTGATGTTTCTCTCTCTCTCTTTCTCTCTCCCCCTCCCTCCCTCTCCCTCTCTCTGAAATCAATAAAGATATGTTAAGAAAAAAAAATAAATAAATAAATAAATAAATAAATAA